CTCAAAGATAAATTAGATAGAATAATATTACCTAGAATAATTAGATTTATTCTATCTGTAACTAATTGATTGTTATTATTATAGCCATTATTATTAGTATTATTTTTTTAGTTATTATTTTATCCATCTATTCCAGGCTTGGATCCAAGCTTGGATCCAAGCTTGGAAAATGGTCGGAATTTCCCAGGTACCCAAGCTTCGATTTGCCTATTTTCACCAAGTTTTGTTAAACAATGTATTTCCATAACATCAAAGTTGGTTCAAGATAGCAATTCCAAGGCTTGGAATGACCTAGACATCATATATTGGATCAAGCTGGTTGAAGCTCGGAATTCCAAACCTGGGCCATGATCGAAACTACCTTGGTATACAAGCTTGTATTTGCATTATATCACCAAGCTTGGTTTAACCATGACAATTCCCTAGAATCAAGGTTGGTTCAAGCTAGCAATTCCAAGGCTTGGAATGACCTAGATATGATATATTGAATCAAGCTTGGTTCAAGCTAGGAATTCTAAAGCTTGGTATCCTAAGCTGATCCAAGCTTGGACCCATCGTCCAAGCTTGGATTTCCCCACCTGGGAAGTTTTGTTTCATTTTTTCAGCATAAAAGATATTAGTTAATTTTGCAGGAGACATCGAATTGTTTATATAAAGTATATAACAAAACATGTATAGTACCGATATTCGGAGCCTTCATTAGTCTAGCATTTCTCAATTGCACATTAATTGATTTCTTAAAAATAGTGCATTCAGAATGAAATTTAACGTTGGTTACGATGTGATCAGTACATCTGCTATCTAATATTCGGGTAATTTCGCTTTCTCGTCCATAAGATTTCTGATTTGTTATCTCGGTATTATTGATTTCTGCGAGGAAAACATTGGATTGATGTTGAGTTTAACTAATCCTCGATAATTGCCACAAAAGTTGTCTCTGGTGTTGCCATTTCCTCCGTAACCCTTGAAGCTGTCGCTGCTACGATTATAATTGTACGTGTATCTGCCGCTACCTTACCACTTTCCTCTGCAATTCCTCAAAATATGACTTGTTCTTCCATATCCATAACAGGTTTTTGGTCCATTACTATGTTGAAAACAGTCGAATTTTTCGCTGTTTCCCGTGTAAGATTTTCCGAGTTTGCAGACTTGGCTAATGTATTGGCCAGTACCTGCATACCAACACTCGGGTTTTGGAGGCTTGGTCAGTACACTGCCCAGCATCGATACGCGGTTGTTCGACACTCCGCCAATATGTTGGCCCACATCGATTCAACGACGTTCGATAGTAAAGCGCGGATCTGTTGAATAAATATTCGTTGGTCCATCATTGGCCATTCATGTGCCAGACCTAGCTTTCCCAATATCCGTCACTTGAAATAATCATTGAGTATAATTATATTATAATTAACATTGCATAATGAAATAAAATTTCATCGGAATCATCATTCATTGAGACCGAGGAATAATAATTGTAAAATTCGGACAAAGAGGTAATTGCTATAAAAATAATAATTAAAAATAACTTTTTTCTTCTTCTGGTCTTTCATTCAGCATTTTCATTGCTATTTTCCTTTCCAGAAATTCGATAGTTCTCTCAACTTGCAGCAACATATCAGTGAAGTCTCCAATATGGCTATATGATGATGGGGGCTTTTAGCATATAATTCACTGATTTTTGTTCAGTGAGTATAGCTCCTGAAGCTTTTAATTCGTTTGTAGCTTTTTTGAACTCGTCGAAAAACTTTATCGACTGCCATATAATTTCCTAATTTTATGCTTTCTGACCGGTTTCTTTTGATTATTCGTGATGCGGTGGATTTCTTCCGTTACATTTGACCAAATTTCTTTATAATTTCGTAGGCTGAATTAAGATGTTTCAGATACTCCAGCTGTCTATTCGTTATCGAACTGGAAATACAGTTCATCGCCTTCACATCGTTCATCCCATATTGCTTCAGTCTGACGTTATTGTTTATTGCTCCACCACCATTCTGTACTATTTAAATCGTAGGAATAACATTAATCTTGCCTTCCAGCTTGAGTAGTCAGAGCCATCGCAAATGGGAATATAAATATCATTACTACTCCCGGTTCTTGAATTCATTTTTCATTTATTCTTTTCAATTCACCTATACTTTAATTATTATTATTGCTATTATTTGTTATTTATCTATATCCACGCTCTACAACCATGTTCGAATTCGTGGATCAAGGGAATAATAATTAAACTTGGACTTCGTACTAACGTATATTGAATATACTATATTCGAATAGTTCTTCTTCTACAATCAGGATTGAGCCGCCCTGAAGGAGAGTAGAGGGCGTGTGCGAGATGGCCACATCCCTCCGTGAAAGATCTGGGGAATACGCCCCTTAATAGTTCTCTCTTACCGACACCGTAAGTGCGGTTGGAGTCGGTAACTAGAGTTACTCAGAAACAGTTACTCGAAAACCTGGCTGGCGCTCAATCGTGAACGACAGAGGCGGCAGTCGTAATAGTTCCAGGATGGTTCTGGGGAGTTGACCCTGTAAAATCCACTTACAAAATAGTCCACGACGATGATCTCCTCTCAAAAATGGAAATACATGGGTATTAATTTTCGATCACTGAAGTTTTCTGCTTGTGGTCTTATGGGTTGGAAATAATTTTGCAGAAGATTCGATAATTTCGAACGTTGAGTTCGGGATAATGTAAGAAATTCTCATTGATGAACAATTTTTTCCCTAGCTTTTTTAAAAGTGATTTTTCTCTTTACATTCAATGACTCCTGTGGAATTTGAATACACTATTTTAAAGAGACCACGGCCTCAATTTATTTTTTTTTTACAAACAGACTCAGCGGTCGATCGTGAATATTTCAACGCTCAGTTTTGCCTCTCCCCGTGCGCTCGTGTTCAAATATTCTCTCTTCCAGATTGTGATGTGTTTGGTTGAACAGCTGAGGGACTTCACAGAAGTGCAGGGGTGGTGGCGAAATTGCACGAAAAACGAGGAGGAAGTGAATCGTGAATGAAGAAAAAATGAATATGAGGGAAGAGTGGTTTAGCCATCCGAGGTTTCTACGTGGAATTCATAAATACAGATACCAGAAACTTTTGTTTCCTGCAGATGGTAGGGTTTTTTTCTTTCCTCAGTGGGTGGGAAGTAGAATTCTCCTTTTTTAATCAAGGAATACGTGTTTTCTCGTGAATCAACTGGCCGATTGTTCTGCTCGATTCAATTATTTCTGGCCAGCGCTGATATTTTATTTCTAACCGTAGTTAATTGATTCTGAAAAATGTCAAGCCAAATAAATTATTAGCCTGATTTGCATATACAGAGGGAAAAATTCTTTCCACTAGATATACTTGAGATGATTCATTGTCCAACATTTCTTCATCAAATCCAAAATTAAATTGATTTTTCAACGAATCTTTCTAAGTGATCTATTTCACAGGAAAATATATGAGATGATGGCATGATATGTACACTAGGAGTAGAACTGCTGTGGATTAAAAATTGTTCTTTTGTTAATTTTTAACACTTTTCTATCTTTTAACAGGCATAAATTGATAAATTAAGTTTTCACCAATTAGTCAAATAATAGACTTTCAAGTCAGATCCTTCAAGAATCACAGAAACGTTGATAATGCAAAAAAAATCGTTCATAATGATGTATATCATCGAATGGGCTTCAAATTATAATTGACTGTGCTTGAAGGATGCTTTTTAAACCTAGTTAATTACGTCGTTGAACAATAAAACAAAAATTTCAATAATTTTAAACTATTTTAAGATATTTTAAAATTTCTGATAGTTATTCTGCAATCCGAAAAAGATATTTAAATTGAAAGATGTCCATTTTTCCTCGCATTCTCCTTTTTTTTTCAATGTATAATTTTGAATGGGTCATTCCTCTGGATTTTTTGGATGAAAATTCACACGAAAGTAGAGTTGAATTTTTCTTTATATATATTCTTTCAGAATTTGTTCTGAAGGAAACGTGAAAATTGATTTTTCAAGTTTTATCCCACAGGATTCTGCACAACAAAACATAAACATAATAATTTTAATAGGAAAATTTTTAATTTTCTAGTCATTTTTTGGCTCGAGTAGCGAGTCATAAAAATTGAATCTTTTCAATTTTCGGTTGAGTTCTGAGTGATGATCCATCAAAATTCCCTCAAAAAGAATTTCATACATTCCAGAAACTACTGGGATAAGCATTCAGTAGAAAATCTTTTATGAATTGGTGCTGGCCAAGATTCGTAACTTCGGTGAACTTGAAATCAGGAAATATGTCCTGCAGTTGGTCAATTTACTCACCTATACTCTCTATTTATCCCGAGGGCCTCCCTCACTCTTACGAACTTTGGTAGCGGATTTATTAACTCTCCGGACTGATAAAAAATCTTTAATAATAATTAATCAATCCTTTGAACAGTTACAGCGACATGCGGTAACGAAGTTGGGAATAATCTGACGTATGTGACGAGTCCGGGGTTTCCTAATCTCATCGATCAGCCTATGAACTGTTCAGTGGTCATCAAGAAGATAGAGCCTCAGGTCAGCCAGCTTCGCATAGATTTCTTACATTTTAATATCGTAAGTTTCTCAGTGTTACATAGTTCTCGTTGAAAATGCCAGGATATTGATCTCAAGGGTTTTTCTGCGAGTACTAAAAGCAAGTAAAATAGAAAACTAAAACACTTCTTCGGGAAAAAGGGTCAACCGAACAAGCGAACTGGTGGATGCGATGAGGACATAATGGAAATCACGAGTGGCGATCGAATATACCAGCTTTGTGGGTGGAACAGTGGACAGCACAGTAAGCATCAATTTTGCATATTGAGTGGTGAGGAATAGTGACCTATTTACATTTTTGTGAGAGCCATTATAGCTGAATATAAAAGAGATCTAGATAATCGTTCGGATTCCCTAATTCAACATTTCCACAGCTGACGAGGGAGTTGAAAATCTTTAACATTCATCCTGAAATTTTTACGTGCCTGATATATGATATGGAATTTTCCACCGACTAATATTTGATTTCACATATATTTGTCTCATAAATGACATTAGAAGAAAGAGTTAAAACAAAGCTAAACAGAACATGCAATGTTTTTTGTGGCAAATTTTTGCAACACATATGTACTCATGAGCTATATGTCAGCTAATCCCGTGAAAATGATTGTTTTCGTATTTTATCGTATGCACTGAATATGACGAATCCCGAAAAAATAGAAAAGTTTTACTTAAAAATTACAAGTAGTTTGTAACGCTTTACCCCGGTGCAGAGCTTTCGTTTGCGCGATCCCTGTCGACACACGTAGCTTCCTAGCTCTACATCTCCTAACTTCTCCACAAATGATTTCTCCTCAGGCACCAGGAGACTTTGTTAATCCAGTGCTACCCCTCGACGAGACCGCGAGTTGAACCTGCGGCTCGATGAAACCTTTAAAGCCGTATTTTTGGTATTTGCCAGATTCACTAACTGCTCCTATTCATGCTCCAAAGTAAGTGGGAACACTTACCTCTGTACTGCGTTCTTCCTCAGATCCGCTAACTGCTCCCCGTTGGGGATGTAGTGCTAGAATGGAGCTACCTGCTTGCGCTACTCAGTATGTATGTTTGGGAGAGAGGGTGAGGTCCGAGGATCTAATCGACTTCGCATGATTGTTAATATGCTCTTTATTCCTAATGTGTAACTTCTCTGCTCGGTTTACTTGGCCAGGCGGGACGACACACAGTACTACTACTCTTCTCACTCCTCTATTCTCTTTCACTGTCTCTAATAGTGTATCCTCCCATTATGTTCTATTTTATGCGATATGGGAGGGCATCGGGATGGAAATACCTTATTCGTACACTCCGGCCTGTCGAGGTCGGTTTCCTAACTCTAGCAAGTGCTTGCCCCTGGATATCGGTAGCCTTCCAGGTCACCATCAGGATTAGAGCTTTGCAAGCGACTCCGGAGTATCCGCCTTGCTTCAGGATCCCAGCAGAGTATTGTGAGCAAGTCCTAAGTCTTAGGCACTAAGGGGTGCCCCGCCCGGACTCCGCGGGTTCGGGGCCTTACTGGCGGACTCCTGTGCACATCCGTTCTCCGCCGCTTCTCCTTCGGCCCTTCTAATCACTTCTCCGAGTGGCTCTGGAGCGGAGGAAGGTCTTTGGGGTTTTCTCCTGGGAGAATTTCCATCTTCGGCGGACCATTCCCACGAGTGTTAGGAGTGCAGGTCATTGATATATTTTTGGCAATCTCGGCCTTCCCATTTTTTACTCATTGACACTCTCACACGTTTCACTCTATGCCACCTGCCATTCCAGGCTCTACAATTTCCTCTTACTTGATTTCCTCTAGTTATATTCTTATTTGTATGCGATGAATTTTGGGATTCATCACACATTTTTTAAATTTTAGTTATGTTCTTAAAGTTGAAAAAATGAAAAAAATGAATGGACAGAGGGGGCGTTCTCTGAAAAAACTTCCACAGATGAAATTCGGATCTTGCCGTTTTTTTTGGGGGGGGGGGGGGGGGGGGCGTTAGTTGAAATAAGAAGGGGAAATTTTTTTGTTTTAATTCATAACTTTCCAATAAATCAATAGAATTTTTTTTTTACTTTTGAAATTTCAACTTTTATTTTATAATATTTTTATTTTAAAAATACTTCCAAAAGGTTGATCATTTCTACAGTGATGATTCCCACTTTTATGCAGAAATTACACGATTCCCGCCGGTCGTGCACTTTGTTTTTTTCTTATAAAAATTCTCGAAAGAAGTTTAATTTTTCCCATAAATTTTGACATTTTTTTTCCGCATTTAGGAGACAATGGCTTCGTTATTTTATTCCAGTTTTAGTATTTTCATCGTATTTTCTTCTATTCTGGACTATCCTTTCTTGACTTTTTGTATGAAAATATGTAATTAATGATTTCTCTAAAGCCCTTCATTATGGAAGAAAATACCATGAAAATATTAAAACTGGAATAAAATGAAGAAGGAATTGTTTTCAAAATGAGGAAAAAAATGTGAAAATTCACGGAAAAATGAAACTTTTTAGCTCCGTCTAGTTGACCCCCCACATGCTGCTATGAATTATAATTTTTTTTTAATGATTTAATGACATGATTGTTACTGATTAGTAGATTATTGTTTGATGATCGATTCCGTTTGTTTGACGTTCCATATATTTTTTTTCAATTTTTCAAAATTGACCAAAAAATTGAAAAAAGTTGATCCCTCCACCCTCGGATTTTATAATTTTTTTTTTTAATTACAGATTATTGTTTGTAGATTATGGTTAGATCATCGACATTTCCACTCGTCCTTAATTTACAGCCGAATAATTGAATTGCTATTGGCAATCATACAGACCCCCGATTTTTCAAAATGTCGTCTAAACAGCTGCTGGGTCGTTCAATTTGAAGTAAAGTGCAACGTCGTTGGTCTCTTGAAGCAATTTCCAAAGGGCTATCGTGGTCTTTGAAAGTGATGTCGGACGATTAAAAATTATTTAAAGATTTCGCACAATCAAATTACGTTCCTCCATTGGTGACTGAACTTCTGAGGCATCATGGGCAGTGGAATCATGTCAGGCTACAAACTTTCTGAATGTATTCCTTGGACTCATTCAATGCATGATAGTAGTAAGACACAGGCGATGTCATACCCCTACACTTATCATCAACCATATAAGTTACAGTCCATTTCTGCAAGCATGATAGTTGTACGTGTTCGATAATACGTTTCATTTCTAGGATTGAATTGTTGATACAACTCTATGACGATCACCGATTTCTTTGGCAATTTATGGACCCACTGGGTGGTCAGAAATGTCAGACTAATAGATACAAGGCAATATTTAGGGGAAACATCGAACCTCGAATATTATCATCATCAGTCATGATACGTAAACGGAAGGTGAAAGGTAATTAAAACTCGGCCCCCATAAATTCAGTTATTTCAATACGTATTCATAAAAAAAACGAATTTTCATCTATTCGGATACCCAGATCCATTACGTATTTATTGCTGGAAATCAAGTAACACCAGTAATGATCTTATAGAAATATATAAAAACTTTATTTCATCCAAAATTCCAAAGATTGAATAATGATTAATTAAAGACTATGTAGGGTCAACATCTTTGGTCACGTCAGTACATAAATTCCTCCATGAGGCTCAATGACATCAGAAGAGTCTGCATCCTGCACAGACATTGAATAGCTGTCATGCAATTCCCATTTCGTCCCAGCTCTGAGAGTATATGCAACGAATCTGCTCGGGCGAGTAGAAACAAATGCCACTATTCCAGCCAGCCTGAAATCAATGAGATTTATCATTTAATTGGAGATCAATAATAAGACTTATTACAGGACATTCGCATTCTTATCTACAATTGGAGAAATAGATTATATTCACCTGTATTGATGCATTCCCAAGTCCAGACACACCGGAACATCCTGAAGCTTGCACTTTGAACTGGTTTGTGAGCGACTGCGTAGTCTGACATGCAAATGGATGAATATATACGCAATAAATACGTAATGGATCTGGGTATCCGCATAGATGAAAATTCGACTTTTTTGACAAATAAGTCTTAAAATAATGGACCACCCGGTGGTCCATAGAAAGAAATCGGTGATCGTCAGATAGCTTCATCATCAATTCAATTCGAAGAATGAAACGTATTATCAAACACGTAACCAACATCAAGCGTGCAGAAATGGACTATAACGTACGTGGTTGGTAATAAGTGTAGGGATATGATTGCCTGTATCTTACTTCTATTATGCACTGAATAAGTTCAAGGAGCACATTCAGAAAGTTTGTAGCCTGACATGGATTCCACTACCCACGATGCCTCATGGATTAAGAAATTCGTAAGAATAACGTAATTTGATTGCGCGAAAGCCTTGAATAATTTTTAATCATCCGACATCACTCCCAAGGAGCACGAAATAGCCCTTTGGATATTGCTCCAAAAAGCCAACGACATTGCACTTTACTCCAAATCACTTCTATCCTCGATGCTCCAAATTGAACGACCCAGCAGCTGTTTAGACGCCATTTTAAAAAATCGGGGGTCTGTATGATTATCATGGCAATCGAAACTTAATTATTCCGCTGTAAATTAATGACGAGCGGAAA